TCCATCTTCTTCCCCTCCTCCTTCCCCTCTTTCTTCCTCTCTCTATCAAACCCAACTATTGGGTTCAATGAAACCTAGCAAATTTGGGTTCCTCAAACCCAGCTGCTATGGGGTTTGTCAAAACTTAGTTTCTGGGTTTGATGGAATCTAACAAATCAGGGTTTCATCGAACCCAGTTGCTCTCAGTTTTGTTAGAACCTAGTGGTTGGGTTTGATAGAACCCAATAGATTTGGGTTTGATTAACACTATTTATTAGTAAGTGAATGAGGACTTAGTTTAATTTGATGGGATCTATTGGGTTTGATGAAGCCCAACAAGTGGGTTTTGTTGAACCCAATAGCTGTGTTCAACCTTAATTGGTGCAAAGAAAAAGCAAGAGGGGAAGAAGATAGATCAAGAGAGGGAGACCAAGGTGCTAAGATAACTTTTTTGTTTTTTATTTCTTTTAATTAAAAATATGAATGTTCATCTTATTTGGTATTATTATTTGTACATGTAATTAAATTATAATACATGTCATCAAAAGGATTAAAAGAAAATGCCATTATGGAATTACTTAACTGTCACGTCATAGATAATTGATGGAAGACTAAAATTGTGCAATTTTTAAAGCTAAAGGATCAAAAAAGTACAAAAAAAAAAAAACTTAAGAGACAAAAAAGTGTAAAACTATAAAATTGAAGGACTAAAATTAACATTTAACCTTAATCTTATATATAGGGGTTAGTATTTGCCAAAGGTCACACAAATAACATGGTAAGTTTATCTCAAATTTTTTCAATATAAAAATTACTTAACAGCCTTCTTATAAATTTTTTTATATCAATTTTTTATTAAATATAAAAAATGTAATAATCAAACAAAATTTTATTACAAAAATTTTCAACTTTATATACATTATTTTTTAACTTGTATATAATTTTTTTTTTTTTACCACTTTCTCTTCTTTTTTTTTTAACACCACTTTCTCTTTATAAACTTCCCTACTAAACTAAACATCCCACCAAACCCCTTAATAATAGTGGTTGTGCACTAGTGCCCATAAAAATTAAAACAATATGGAGTGGTGACGGCAGCTGCACACGCTGTGCACGTGTTAACAGATTTCATTTTTTCTGTCACCTACCCGATACTGCCCTTTCATTTTTCTGCAATGCCCATCACATTCAAATTAATTTTTGTAACTATATTATAATATTGTCCTAAAAAAACAATATTGAGCATATAATTAATTTTTATTTGAAATTATAACATAAAAAGCAATATAATATGAGTTTAGTGTACTAATTTTAATTTTTTTTTTAAAATTAATTTAAAATTTAATAATTTTTAAATTTAAATATCAATATTTAATAAAAATAAAATTTTAAAATTTAAATTAAATTTTAATTAAATAAAATAATCTAATTTAAAATTAAAACCCTATTTTTAAAAAAAAAAATAAAACTAATATATATTTATATTAGGTATTTTATTTTATTTTATTAACTTGTTGCTGGCAGACAAAAAAAAATTCCGAAACTCAGAAAGAAAAAGAATTGGTGACGAGACAACTGATGCCATACATGTAAATCCCAACATCTCCCATAGCTCAACTTGCCCACCAACCAACGCCGTATCTCTCTATAATTCCTTTCTAGCAGTTGCTTGTTCTGGTGCATGTGGTGTTTGGTGCCCGATGACTGGTGATTGGTGACTGGTGACTGGTGACTGGTGACTGGTGACTGGTGAGCCTTCCCCTACCCCTCCATCAACCTCCAAATCTTCTTCTTCAAGGTTAGTTTTTCGCTTCTCCTTTGATCTTCTTCCATAATTCGGATAAGAATAACTACAGATTCAATCGGAGCTTCTTATTTTTGCCGTTGTAGGAGCAGATCTTGAGTTTGCGAAATGGCTCGGAAGAAGATCAGAGAGTATGACTCCAAGAGACTGCTGAAGGAGCACCTGAAGCGCCTTGCCGGTATTGATGTCCAGATCTTCTCTGCTCAGGTACTTAGCCCTGTGTTTCCTGTTTGATTACGGCGGAGTTTTACTTCTTTGTAGATTTCTAGTGTCAATTGTTAACTGTAGTCCTTGTAGTGCGGATATTGAAGCTTTGCATAATTGATTCATCATAGCTTGGGTTTTGGTTTGTAAAATTGCAACTCTGATATGATTTGCCTTTAACTTGTTCTATTATCTTTTCAGTATTCTGTTCTTTGCAAATGAGGTTTCGAGCGCTTGACTGTCTTATTTTCTAGTGAACTTCCGTAGCTGGAAGTTCATAAAATTCTGCTGTATTCCATGCGGAGGATTGAGATGTTAACTTTGAGCTGAGGTCTCTACTTCATTGTGCATAATAATGTGTTTTCATTAGAACTTAGAAGTTACCGATATTTTGTTTTGGCAAAAAGCCTTTTGATCTGTGGTATTACTATGAGATGTAATGTAAGTTTAATCATGAAGAGTTCCATTGTCTAAGTTTCCGGCTTATTATCTGATTGTTGGTTCTGTTATTTAGGTAACTGAATCTACTGACTTCACCGAGTTAATGAATCAACAACCTTGGCTTTCATCCACAAGATTAGTTGTGAAGCCTGATATGCTGTTTGGGAAACGTGGGAAGAGTGGCTTGGTTGCATTGAATTTAGATATTGCTCAAGTTGCTGAGTTTGTGAAAGCACGCATTAGTAAAGAGGTAAAAAAGTTTAAAATATGATGTGAAAATTTCTCATTTTTTAATGCATAATTTTGTATATATGATGCTTGACTTGGATTATGATTATCTTTAGGTTGAGATGGGTGGTTGCAAGGCACCAATAACAACCTTCATTGTTGAACCTTTTCTCCCACATGAAAATGAGTATTACCTTTCAATAGTCTCTGAGAGGCTTGGCTGCACCATTAGCTTTTCGGAATGTGGTGGTATTGAGATAGAAGAGAATTGGGATAAGGTATGCTAATATCCTTCCTATCCAACCCTTTCCTTGTTTTTGCCCCTATAGCTTATTCTGGTCACGTTTATTTAATCATCAGTGGAATCTATAGATTGAAAAGGTGGCTTTTATTGCATTTTGGATTCATTTTGAATTTTGCAGGTTAAGACTATATTCCTTCCAACTGAGAAACCTATGACACAGGATGCATGTGCACCTCTGATAGCTACACTTCCTTTGGAGGTGAATTTCAGCATTCTTTTCAAATTCAGTTATCATTTTCCTTCAAACTCCAAATGACATTGTGTCATTGAGTATTTGCAGGATCCTGTTTCTGTTACCAGTTTTTAGGGTCTTCTGCTTGACTGGCTGATATTTATCCAGTGAGGCTGATTCTACTTTCTATGTTATTTAGGTCCGAGGAAAGATTGGCATGTTCATAATGGGAGTTTTCTCTGTATTTCAAGGTACTAATTTATTAAGATTTCAAGCTAACTCTTGTCCCATTCATGGAGCATAAGAAATTAGATGATTGTGAAGATGTAGTATCGCATTGCATATAAGTTCTTAAGGATCACAAATATATGAATATCAATTCACTTGTAATTGTAATATTAGATGGATGCAAAATCTATTTTATGTTCATCTTATTATCTCTTTCATATAAGAAGGGGTGTTCGTCTTTTTTTCTTTTTTCTTTGTGGAAACTACTTTGGATTACACTTACTTGTTTAATGATCTTTATTTTATCAAATAACTACTAAATCTATCAGTTCTCCTATGCTGGTCACAGATCTGGACTTCAGCTTTCTGGAGATGAATCCATTTACACTGGTGAATGGAGAGATATATCCACTGGATATGAGGGGAGAACTGGATGACACTGCTGCATTCAAGAACTTTAAGAAGTATATTTGTTGTTCAAGACACTTAAATCCATTTAGATTAAATACTTTTCTTGCCGTGTCATTTCTCATGGAAGGAATTTTATGTATCCAGGTGGGGTGGTATAGAGTTTCCATTGCCTTTTGGAAGAGTTCTGAGCCCTACAGAGAGCTTCATCCATACATTAGATGATAAGGTATCCATATGCTTATCCTGTGGTAATCTGGGATTTCATGGCAGAGAATGAAGTTGTCTTGACCATGTTTTTTACTAAATCTCAGACAAGTGCATCTTTGAAATTTACTGTTTTGAATCCAAAAGGACGTATCTGGACTATGGTTGCTGGAGGTGGAGCAAGTGTTATATATGCTGATACTGTAAGTGATATCACGTTAAACCTGATTTCAGGAGCTGCTCTAACTTGAACACCAATTGCACTCTTAAAAGTGATGATTGGTAGGTTTAGTATCTTTGGATGTTACTTCAAAGAATTATTGTGTTTATCTACCAGGTTGGAGATTTAGGCTATGCATCAGAGCTTGGTAATTATGCAGAGTATAGTGGAGCTCCAAATGAGGAGGAAGTCTTGCAATATGCAAGAGTTGTCATTGATGTAATAGGCTACTAACTTCAAGTTAGACTAAGCAATTCCAAAAGTTTTCATCTGTTCTGGAATAATTTAACCTATATTAATATTGCAGTGTGCTACAGCAGACCCTGATGGGCGAAAGAGAGCTCTACTTATTGGAGGCGGTATTGCTAACTTCACTGATGTTGCTGCTACTTTTAGTGGCATTATTCGAGCTCTAAGAGAAAAGGTACATTTTAGCTGAAGCCAAGTATATAGCAGCAGTTTATTTGTTTCTTCTTTCAATGTCTGCTTAAATTCATTTCAACTCTTCATCCTTCCAGGAAGCCAAGTTAAAAGCGGCCAGAATGCACATCTATGTTCGAAGAGGTGGTCCAAACTATCAGACCGGTTTGGCAAAGATGCGTGTTCTCGGAGAGGAGCTGGGAGTTCCCATTGAGGTATTACAGAAGAATTCTGCTTCTCTTTTATTTCCCTCTTCCTAATTGATTGCTTTTTCAATTTTGGTACTTTCCAGTTTTCACCACTGTGTTTTGTGTCTTTTGGTTTTAGGTATATGGACCTGAGGCCACAATGACCGGCATATGCAAGCAGGCAATTGATTGCATCATGTCTCAAGCATAGACCTTCAACTCTTCTTTTTCTTCTCACTCAATGTTTGTCGTTACTCTGGTGCATCAGCTCCGGCTTGGATTGTTGTAACTGTAAACTTCAGAACTCCGAGCTACTTCTACTTTTTATTTCTTTTGTCAACATTTTTGGACAAGGTTAAGGAATAAACATGAAATTTGGTTTTCAATTTTACATGTACTGGGTGATCTTATTTCATGGATTGGAAGTTTTCTTTCTCGAAACAAATCACCTAGGAATTCAAGTGAATACCCTACAAGTTAAGAAGAAAAAGACAATAGAAATAGAACTATGGCTCTAGTCCTATATCGTCAATTCCTTTCCTTCTTCCTCCCAAGCAGTGGGGACAAAAAAAAAAAGAAGGGTAGACTTCCCGGTTGTCACTTTCAATTGAGAAATATCATGCCAAACTAATGAAAATGAAAATTTGAGAGCCCAATTTTTTTTGTGTGCACCCAAACAGCTTGAAGTCCAAACGTTTTAAAACCTGCTTTAAGAGAAGTTGAAAAAATGGTCCCGGCGAGGCTCGAACTCGCGACCTCCGGCTCATAAGACCAGCGCTCTAACCAACTGAGCTACGGGACCAACTAAATTGTATTACAAAAAAAGCTTTAAATAATTGTTCTCTGATTAATTTGGGTGAATTTTTGGATTTCAGGACTGCCGTTGAGTTTCCCGTCAGAGGAAGAACATGCTGCCAACAATCCGGTTTCGAGGTGAACGATGAGGCAAAGGCTATACTGGATGCAGATTTCGCCAGTTTATCAAGGAAAAAGTCCCCGACGTGCCTCCACCAAACGCTGAAGACGGTGCAACTGGATGTTCATTAAGCCCCTACAGAACAAAAGCTTGCACAAGTTAGTACCACTAATTTAAAACTTTAATTTGAATCCGAATCATATATTCAAACCTCTAAACAAAAAAAAAAAAAAGAGTAAAAATTTTTTGAACAATTTTAGCATTATTTACAAGTATATACGAAAAGGGGAGAAATGAGTTCCATAAGACTAATAATGGAGATGAACAATCCGAACCGAAAATCCAATGCTACTGGTCAAATCAAACTATTAAAAAAAGAGTAAAAATGATCACATGATTCTCGTAAAAAAAAAAAATTAAATGCAGCCCATAAGGCCAGAGGCTTTTTCTCTTCGTTTCAGTCCAAATTGTTTACTGCTTTAAGCCCAATAAGACCTTGTTGAGGACGGAGAGTCCAAGAACCTGTTTGGATTAGTTTATAAGAATTTTATTTTTTTAATTATTTATAAGTGTTAAATTTAAATTTTTATTAAAAAAAATTTAAAAATTACTTTTAGATATATAAAATAATAAGTAAAAAGATAATTTATAAACATTTTAAATTTGAAGTTTTTGAGTTTTTTCTATTTAAAATCTTTTTAAGGTTAAAAAAATTTTAAAAATATAAATTTTTTTAATAAAAAATTTAA